GCAATTAAGGTCTTGGTAGCCATGGGTGTTTTGTCCACCAAAGCTCCTCCCGCTGAGGTGTCTAGCATTTGGCGTTCAATTGGTAGAAGCCCTTCGTAGAAATATTGAAGAATAAGCTCCTCATTCATTTGGTGTTGTGGACATGAAGCAACAAGGGTTTTAAAACGCTCATAGTAAGTGGGAAAGGATTCACCTTGGTTTTGCTGAATGCCACTAATCCTTTTGCGTAGTAGAATGACTCGAGAAGTTGGGAAAAACTTCTTCAAAAATGCCCGTTTCACTCTCCCATGATGTGACAGTTCCGGGGGCTAGCTCATACAACCAATCTTTAGCCTTTTCTAAGAGAGAAAAGGGAAAAGCCTTCATTTTTAGAATGCTCCCATCAACGTTCATAGGGGTCATGCTCAAGCAAACAACCTCAAACTCCTTCAAGTGTTTATTAGGATTTTCCATGGACATCCCGTGGAACTTAGGAATGTGATGCAACAAACTTGATTTCAATTCGAACTCGTCCGTCTTCCCTAGGGCAGCCATGGGGTATTGAATGCATAGGGGAGCGTCATTGTTCAATCCTGAAGCGGAAAGCTCCTTGATTGTTCGATTGTCCGCTGCCATGTTGGGATCTTCCTCTACAACCTGTGCCGTGAGCTTCTCTTGCTTTTCTACTTTGTCTTCTCCAAGATTTGGTGCAGGTTGAGATGGTTGGGGTTCTTGTTAATTCCTTGCTCATCTTAAAGTTCGCTCAAAATCGTCGTCAAAGTCACGGATGTGCTTATGAATAGGTTGAGAACTTTGAGTCATACACTATTACCTAAAACAAGAAAACAAACAAGGTCAGTAACTATCATAAAAACACACGAAAATAAACAACAACAAAAAAGAAATAACAAGGGATTAGCAATGTTGCTAATCCTCGGCAACGGCGCCAAAAATATGATGCGAAATTTTTTGCTTAACACACAAATTAAACACTCTTGTATCAATTGTAGTAAAGAATGTAAGTAGGGGTCGTTCTGGACCGGGGATTAGGAGGGCTTCCTAATAACCTCTAAATTGACCTAAAAACACAAAAATAAAGTTAAAAACACTAAACTAGACTCAAAGAACTCAAAACAAACTCAAAAGACTCAAAACAAGCTAAAAACGCCCAAATCTGCCTAAAAACACAAACTGGGCAGATTTGGACTCAAAACACACTTTTGGACGAATTTTGGTTTTAACTTGGTTCGAAACACTTAAAAATACAAACTAAATCAGTTTCTAACTAATATGACTCAACAAGGTAAATGGGGGGTTTGGTTTTGACGAAATTGAAAACAAAACAAGTAAATTAAAGAACTAATGAAATCTACACAAATTTGCGTAAAACTATGGATGATAGGTTAGCTAGAAGGTTCTTCTCCACACATGACACACTTGCAAACAAAACAATGTCCAGTTGCTTTTCAATCAACCATGAATTCTTAACGCCCCAGATTAACTGTGAATTGCACTAACTAACCTTCAGATTTTTCTAATTTCATTGAATTGGATGATTGCATACAACAACCCAAAGCATTCCCCACAAGTTCCCTACATGAATTGCATAATAAAGATACAAGCAAGAATCATTAAGTTCTATGAAAATCATAAGCATTGACAAAACACTTGTAACTATGAATTGCATGAAACTTATGCCAAGAATTTACTTAACACGGTTGTGACGAGCAACCTTCACTACTTGTGAATATAAGTTCATAACGATTAGGTGAAACTCCCTTATATCCTAGCATCAGATTTATGCATGAAAATTACGCGTGCACTCTCAACCAACACACACAAATCATTTTTAATTCAAATGGATAAGTAAATTGAATTCACAACTTATGAATCACAACTGAAAGTAATCAAATCATATTGCAAGCATGAACATGGTTTCGAATTCCCCCTAGCTAAGGGGGGTTTAGTTCCTCATACTCACAAAGCAAAGATAAACAAATTTAGACATTGAAAACAAAAGAATGAAAACACCTAAAAACGCTCCAATAATCCAACTTGAATGGCAAGCACGTCCAAGGGTCCTCCTTCTTCTCTTTGTTGCGGCATAAGGTGTGGTTTGATGGATGCATATGGATATATGAAAGGGAATGGCTGAATGTGTTTAGGTTGGATGGAGGTCATGGCAAGGAAAGGGAAATGAAGGTGCATGGAATTGTGCTTTTGTTGTGGGAATGTGTAGAATGGTTAAGAAGAAAAGACTCTGCCTTGCGGCAGAATGTTTCTTCCTCCCTTCTCCCTAAACTATCTGTGTGAATGTGTCTTTGGATGGATCTCCCCTCTTGTTATGGTGAAGGGTGGATGTATTTATAGGCTAGGGAGAGGACCACCATCTAATTAAGGTGGTAGTGGTTTATGTTATGGTAATGAATGGATGTAATTGGTTTAGTGGGTGAATGTTTGGTAATGAGTGGATGTAATGGGTGTAGTGGGTGAGTGTTGTGGTAATGAGTGGATGTAATGGGTGTAGTGGATGGATGTTTGGTAATGAGTGGATGTAATGGGTATAGTGGATGGATGTGGTAATGAGTGGATTGGTAATGGATGAGTGTTTGGTAATGAGTGGATGTAATGGGTGTAGTGGATGGATGTTTGGTAATGAGTGTATGTAATCGGTGTAGTGGATGAGTGTTTGGTAATGAGTGGATGTAATGGGTGTAATGGATGGGTGTTTGGTAATGACTGGATGTAATGGGTGTAGTGGATGAGTGTTTGGTAATGAGTGGATGTAATAGGTGTAGTGGATGAGTGTTTAGTAATGAGTGGATGTAATGGGTGTAGTGGATGAGTGTTTGGTAATGAGTGGATGTAATTGGTTTAGTGGATGGATGTTTGGTAATGAGTGGATGTAATGGGTGTAGTGGATGAGTGTTTGGTAAGGAGTGGATGTAATGGGTGTTGTGGATAAGTGTTTGTAGTTGTAGGTCAACACACTTGCACACACACACATGCTGATTTCTAGCCGTCTAATCTTCAAAAATGTCCATCCTTATGTCTCTATGCTTGCACTATCCAATCTTGGCCCAAAAATGCTCCAAATAGCACTTTGTTGCCAACTTTGTTATTTAAGAAATAAACCTAAACTTCGTCTTCGTCGGCTTACACCTGGGTGTGACGTGCACCGAGCAAGTCACCGAACTCGGTTAATGCTCTCTTGCTCCTTGAGTCGATGACGCCTATCTCTTCTTGGAGCGAGCTGCCTTCCTTCGGCCTCTATGATTGTACCCAGATCTACTTCAACTCACTCTGGTTACTAGGCTACAAAAGAAGTTTTAATCTCTCTCAAACGGTCGTCTACACCCTGAAGGTCACTGGTGAGGCGCATGTTAAAAGGGCAATCCTAGTGATATCGTTGACAGAGAGTTTCAGCCAATGCCATTAAAACGACTCTCCAGGAGCAGAGTGCGCCTCAATGGGAGATCCAGAAAAGAAAATCGTCCGAGAGAGCTGAGATTCCACGACGAGTTTCAGGCCGTTCAAGTCCCATAAACCTTGCCGTCAAGCTAGAAGTGACTGTGAAGGAGGATCTTCCTCTTTATTCGAAGTTCTCTTTCGAGAAGATCTGGCTGCTTCTTGAGCTGATCGAATTGGTGACTAATGGCAAAAAACTCTGGCACTAGCTTGGCTTCTGTTTATGGTAAAACAAAAACTTTCTTATCTTCGAAGGAGCTCTGATGCTCTTCGAAAGACGTCAAAGGGGCAAAGCTCTCTGGCCTGAGCGCTTTGACGCAATCAAATGGCCGAACTGGCAAAATGAAGGTCAGCCCTTGCTTCTGAGCTTGCGAGGAACTTTGAGTCGGGCGGGAAATCTTGTCTAACTAAATTTGCGACAAACACGAGGTGAGTCGAGCAGCTGAAGTTGGATAAGAAGAACAGGCAGGCCGAGGTCATAATGGGTGAGGTGAGGTGGCTGGAGCTAAAGGCACTTCTTGGAACTCTTCTTCCTTCATCGCCTTAGAATAATTTGATTGTAAACCATCTTATTAATGAAATGAAACAAGCTTTTACTCTTGCATCTTCCATGTGATTGGGTAGTATTTTTTTAATAACTTTCCATTAATTGGTAATTTGTGAATAATACCGGTTCGATCTCTAAGATGGTATGCCCCCTTACCAAGAACTTTATGGACGACAAACGGTCCTTCCTAATTCGGCCACACAATTTGCCAAACTAACTCTCCTTCGCCGAACGTTTTTTGTTTGACTCTTTGATTATAAGCTTGCTCGGCAATTTTCTTTTGTGCCACTAGAAGATTGTAAGCGTCAAGCCGATCTTCTTCCAAATCTTCTTACTCTTGTAACATGGCCTGATTATATTCGACATTGGACAAACTACTCTACTCGATCGCACGTAAAGAATTTACACTTAGCTCAACTGGTAACATCGCGTCAGGTCCATAGGTTAACGCATATAGGGTGGTCCTCGTTGCCGACCGGGGTGAAGTTCGGTATGCCCATAAAAGCTTTATTAAATTTTAAATGCCATATGCCAGGTCTTTCTTTTATCATTTTCCCGAGAATACCAATCAAAACCTTATTACTTGCTTCGGCTTGTCCATTCGCTTGTGGATAGTATAGTATGGACTGCTCGAGCAGGATTTTTAAGCTCGCCGTGTACTCTTTGAACCTTTCGGTTGTGAAAACTGTGCCATTATCAGTTATGATTTTGCTTCCCCCACAAAATCGCAAACCTCCTTGGATGTTAATTCGGCGTATGATTTTGCTTCGACCCACTTAGTGAAATAATTCGTTGCCACGAGTATCCATGCATGTTTCGCTGCTCCAAAAGATGGTGTGATTTTGCCGATCACGTCAATTGCCCATCCTTTAAACGGCCAAGGTTTGGTGATCGAATGAAGTAATTCGACCGGGGCCCTTTGGATGGGTCCATGAATTTGACATTGGACGCATTTTCGTGCATACTTGATACAATCTTTCAATATGCTTGGCCAAAAGTAACCATGTCAGAGAAGTAGCCAAAGCATCTTGCGTCCTGATTGATGGGCTCCGCAAATTCCTTCGTGTACCTCTGTGATTGCTTGGGCGGCTTCTTGTGGGCCGAGGCATAACAGTAATAATTCATCCTCGCCTTTTCGATACAACTCGTTCTGGTATGAGACGTAGTTTGTGGCATGGACCCTTGTCTTTCGGTCATGTTTGCCTCTGGGATCATCAAGGTATTGCATAATTGGCATTCTCCAGTCGTTTGGTAGCATCTCGACCGCGCAAACATCTACAGGATCCTCCCGTTCCAATAACAAAGGTAAGGACATTACCTGGGTACGGATGACTTGGTCGTGCTGAATGACTTGTTGATTAACCAAAGCCGGATATGATTGCCGTAAAACGGGTATCATCGGTCCACTTTTACCCCCCAGAAGTTGTGCTTCGGAGGCTATCTGAGAGAGTTCGTCTGCGATGGTGTTCTGTCTACGAGAAATATGTTGGAACGTGATACCGTCGAACGACTTGGCCAAGTAACTAGCCACCATGTGATAGGGCGCCAGAGTGCAACTCATACATCGAAAAGTGCCATTGAGTTGGTTGATCACAAGCTTTTAATCGCCGAAAACGACGACACGAACAGGGTGGAAATCATGAAGCACGCTAAGGCTGATAACAAGGGCTTCGTACTAGGCCTAATTGTTGGTAAAATCGAAATCTAACTTAAGGGAAAAGAACCAACGGTGTTGGTGTGGAGACTGGAGGACGATCATCACGCCGGTCGATGTCGATGTGTTGTAACCATCGAAATACATCGTCCAATAATTGTCATGTGCTTCCACCATTTCGATTTCAACATCATTGCCCCCGAACCCATAAGGAGAAGGGTGATGGGCTAAGAAATCAACAAGCGCTTGTCATTTGACAGCTTTTTGTGGGATGTACTGCAAACTAAACTCCGATAGTGCCAGTGTCCATTTCCCGATTCAGCCTTTGACTATTGGCCGAGTAAGCATATATTGAATGACATCTGTTTGGGCGATGACCTGCGTAACGGATGGGAGCATGTAGTGTCGGAGTTTGGAGGCGACGAAGAACAAAGCCAAGCAAAGCTTCTCGACGGATGAATAATTGATCTCTAGAGTAGTGAGGTTTCGGCTGAGATAGAAAATAGCTTGTGCGAAGAGGCAACCGATGGATTCTTCGGCTGTGGAAATGTAAAGTTTAAGGGATTTATCACGTCGGGGCGGTACGAGGACAGGTGGAGTTGCGAAAGCAACCTTGATTTATGTGAAAACCGCTCGATGTTCTTCACACCACTCAAACTTGTCTCAGTCCTTGAGTTTCAATAGTGTAGAGAATGCCGTCATTTTGCCAGCGGAATTAGCTATGAATCGGCAAAGAAAATTTATTTTCCCGAGCAAAGATTAGAGTTGTTTTTTGGTCGTCGATGGTGGGGCGTCAATAATCGCGCGAGCTTTGTTCGCGTCGACTTCGATGCCGCGATGATGGACAAGAAAACCTAAGAAATTACCGACCGACACACCAAAGGTGCATTTGGCCGGGTTCATCTTAAGGTTGTGTCGTCGCATGCGAAGGAATGCTTGCCGAAGATCATCAATATGCGTTCGGCGATTTTTTGATTTGACCACGACGTCATCAATATACACTTCTATGGTAGTGCCGATTAGGTCATGAAAAATGGTGTTCATCGTGCGTTGGTATGTGGCACCAACGTTCTTTAGATCGAATGGCATGACAACCCACTCGTAGGTTCCGAGTGCCCCTGGGCAGCGGAAAGCAGTTTTATGAACATCAACCTCGGTAATAAATATCTGGTTATAACCGGCATGTCCATCCATGAATGACAGCATGTCATGATTAGCCACGGCGTTGATAAGCAAATCTGAAATGGGCATGGGATATGCATCCTTGGGAGTTACCAGATTCAAATTTTGAAAATCAATGCAAATGCGTAGGGCCCCATTTTTCTTGAGTACGAGTACGATATTCACCAACCACTCGACGTATCGAGCGGTTCGGATAAACCCGGCATTTAATAGTCGAACAATTTCGTCTTTTATGCCGAGTTGTACTTCGATCGAGAAATGGTGATGAGGTTGTCAAACAGGCTTGCAACCAGGTTTGATACGTAATTCATGTTCAACAAGGGTCCATTCGAGACCCGGCATTTCATGATAACTCCAAGCAAAACAATCTTTAAACTCGTGAAGAAATTGATGGAGTTCAACTTTCATGGCATGGGGAAGTAACGCACTAATAAAGAGCGGCCGAGGATCATCGGCCGTTCCAACATTTATTTCCTCTAGAGGATCCTTTACTTGGGGTCGGCTGTCGTCGAGCTCGGCTGGTGCAGCCTGAACTTTATCCAATGATAGTACCGGGCCATTATCTTCTTCGACCAAAAATTTGATTAAGTTGATGCCCGAATACGGGTGCTTGGCAATAGCATACCAATGGGCCAACAGACGTTCCATCGTGGATGAAACCGCAGCCCAACGCCTCTCGCTTTTGATGTCAATCATCAGTGGTGGGGAGTAAATTGGCCAAACCGAGTCTCGCTGAATCCTGGTGGACAATCTCAGTGCCTACCTCGATGGCTTTTTAGATTAAGATCTAGATCGGCCGTCCATCTTCATTAAAACCCTGTAAAGTAATATAGCCGACGTGATTATCATAATAGCGGGCTTGAATCATGTTGGTTTCAAACGGCTGAGTGTCGGCCGGGTGGACCACAACTGATTTACCATCCTAAAAAAATGAGAATTTGATATAAAGAAGAAGGAATGCAATTCGTTTGATGAATCTAATCCCTACCGAACAAAGCATTATATTCAGTTTTGGAGTCGACGATAAAAAATACGGTCATGTGATTATGACCTGTGATGTTTACCTCTAGAGGTAGTAACCCTTTTGTCTGAGACTTGTCACCGACAAAGCTACTCATGGTTATTCTTGAAGGAATGAGTTTGTCGGTGGATCGTCGTAATGCTTTCATGACGGATACAGGCATGATGTTGACTGTTGCTTCGCAATCAACGAAAATTTTAGAGATTGGGTAGCCTTCAATATAGGCCATGACATACAACGGTCTTAAATGCTGAAGATTAGTCGAGGAAAAACGGGGAAACAAGATATCCAAGGCTGTTTTAAGTTTATCGTCGCCGTGTGGTGACTCATCCTCTGTCGTAATGACGAAATCAACTTATGTTGCTTCCTCGGTGACCACATCGCCATCCAAGGAACTTGGTTGGCATGTAGTCGGCTGAAATTCAGCCGGTAAAACATGGACCATGTTGATTTCCATATTTTCAAGGATTGAATGACCTATTGGATCCTGGTCTTCATCTTCTGAAGTTATGAGGACTATATCGTGTGTCGGAGCGTTCACGGTCAGCTCACTATGTGTCTCAACATATTCAGGCGCTTGCGCCATACAATCCGACGATGTATCATGTTGACTGTCGTCTTCGGGTTTGTATGCATCTCGTGTCGGACTCTGCTCTTGCCGTATTTTGCGAGCTCGTTCTTCATAGGCGATCCGGGCATTCCTGGTGTCCAGGTAAGCGTCCAGTCGTGCCACACACTCTGTCTCATCGGTCGTTAAGTCGAACAAGGAAACGGTCGAAAAAACTTCGAAGTGATACCGAAAGTGTTGAAGGTCTTCAAGAGAAAAATGGAGTTCGGCTGTGTCAATATCCGTGTATGGGTCGACCTTGAAGTCGAGAACCTTAGCTTCTCGAATGTGCTGGAATCTGGCTTTCATTGCTGGATCAGTGGTTTTTTGGATGATCTGCTCAGCATCGGGGTAAGTTAATGCCAGGTTAAAAGCTTCTTGGCAGGCCTTCGGCAACCCATATAAGTCGTTAGCGAAATATTTCTTGTGAAATTGTTGACCCTAAAAACTACAAAGCCTACGTGGCGCGCAGGCCGAGTAATCTATAAGCTAACTACGTCCTTCGACGAATGTGGGGCGTGCCAACTCGTCGGCCAAGCTCGGCCGAGGAGTAAATTTGTTGATGTTGCGTTGGGTGCGCGGCTGACTTCTGCGTGTTGCGATTGCGGCCGAGAAAGGAACGTGTCTCGGCCTCTTGGGTCCTCGAACCTGAAGACAAGGTTACTATTCTTACGAAGTTCACGAATCGTCGTCGTCGGACTCGGTCACAGTGATGGTATTCGTCAGAGTAAACTCTCGCCGAATTAACACCAGAGTGTAAGGGCACAAGTACTCAAAGCGAATGTAAGTCTTGATAATGAACGTGGTTCGGCCGTTGGAATGCCGAACTCTAAATCCTACCTGTGAGTATCCAATCATGAACAACCTCGGCGTGCAATGTGCCGAGCCTAATGTAACGCCTTACTTTGCCGAGAAAGCTAATAAGACGACCTCAATCAATAAGGATTCAGAAATCCTTCTCGACCGAGACTTGGATAGATAACCAACCGTCCTCGCCGCAGTGCTGTTGATGCCAACGGAAGATACTGCGAGACCGACTGATTCTACGATGACAGAGCTATCTATGCCGACTTAAGATGTCACCGGTTGCTTTCACAGTGCTGTTGATGCCAACGGAAGATGTGTCAGCGAACAAGGAAAATAAAAATCTCAAGTTGTTGAGAAAGTTTGCGCAGGGCAATTGTGTGTTGAGTTGAAGCCCTTCCACGATGCACAAGCTCTTCTATTTATAGCATCAAATACCTTCTAGGCCGAGTTACTACCCTACTCGGATTAGGAATTCCTCTCCTAATCGAACACTTTTTCGGCCAATCCCATTCTCACTAGGATTCCGTATGTACCCCCTTATTGAGCCGGATTCACTTCATGCCGAGATTCCTTATCGCACCAGGACTCGTCTTGCCTTGCAGCATGACCTATCCGACTTAGGTTTGAAAGCCCATGATCCGAACGGTCTATATCACATTTGCCGTATGGCCTTCTGGGCTGAGAGTAACTCCATACTCGGCCCAAACCAATATTTTGGGCCCAAACATTGCCCCCTCGCTTCTGAGGTCTTCGGCCTGTTTAGTCTGGTCGAACTTCGGCCTTGAAGAAGCGAAACTGATACTCAAGATTCAAATAACCTATTTCCAAGGCGCATTTATTGAACACGATTGCACGGTCTTGATTCTGTTGACCAATACACCACGTGGCAGCCTGCAATTCGGCCCATTCCTAATAATGACGTCCAAAGCGTGCGGCTACCTGAACCGTCAGACCATCATGACTCTACCGCTAATCTCAGCCATGCCGCCTCAATTTTCGAACCGTCCCTTATCGTGCAGACGCTAAAACGTCTTTCGCCATAAACTTCCTCGTTATACACAATCGTGCGCCCCCGAAACCTGAATCCCTTGGTCTTCTCAACTGAATATCCGTAATGATTAGCCATTCCTTCAGTCGATTTTACCCCCGATTTTGAAATTCAAACGATTGATCTTCTCCATAACCTCTATAAATATCGAAATTTTCACATTTGCACTTTACGCTCTCAAACCCTTTCTGAAATTCCTACCCTCGTTCTCCAGT